CTTATAGAGTCTTCATTTTCTTTTGTCTTTGTATATAAGAAATCATAAGACATTATCTTCTTCAGCAAGATCATCACTGGAATCGCTTTCTAATATTTCTGATGATACATTAGGTATATCATCAGTAACATCAGAATTTGGTAAAGTACTTTCTTCTGATGATAAATTCTAAAAAAAAATCAATAAATATTTTAGACGAAATTAAAGTTAAATATTAAGGAAGTTTTTAAAAAATGTATGATTTGAAAAAGTTAATTGACAAACCTGTGAAAGAATTTCTTGACCTTCTAAATTTTTATTAACAAGATTACCCATCCAAAAAGCAGTAGGACTATTATTAAGTACAAGCATTCCTTTTACACTATAAATTAATCTTTCTAATATAGATTTTGCTGCAGGTATGTATTTTGTTAATGTAAGATCTTTCTTTTCTGCAGTATCACAACATATTGTGTGCAGATATCGAGTGCCTCCTAAAATATATATACATGTGTTAACTGTATTATATTAATACTTTTAACTTATTTGATAATGCCAATTTTATTATAAAAACAAAAGTTTATACCTTGCATCATCTTTAATATTTTTGTTACATCTTCTGGTTGATACTTCAAATTATGTTCCAGAATTGGCATTCCAAGATTTAAAAATAATTTCAATATCATGGGCATATTTTTGAAAAAGATCAATACATTATTTTTCGTTGTTAAGGTTTTACATATTTGGACTAACGTTTGAACATTTGTGGCAACTTTATGCCACAGTTTTATTCTATCAGGATCTCTGGTAAAGAAAATTAAATGTTTAAATTATTTATTCCTATAATGTGAAACAATTTAAATTGTATAAAAGGTACACACTTGTTAGCTATTGGTAATGCTATTTTTATACCATTAATCAGACCATCAAATACTTTCTTAAATAATAAATGAAAATTACTTCTTGTTATTGATGGTATTCTACTTAAACAATCATGAGGCCTTTCCAACTTCGAAATTTCATCTGATAACCATTCCAACTTTTCAGTAACCATTTGTAATGGTAATGGTTCATTATCAATCCAACTATTTAGTAGTTGAGCTACAGCTATTTTATACTGAGGACTAAAATGATTATCTTCTGGCCATTGAAGACATAAGAATCCAAATGCTAGTTTTGCTAAACAACATTGCAATCATACATATTTCAAATATTTTTACAAATATCTTCAAGTGCTTTGAGAGTAAAATTAATACTTAGTAAGTTATGAATTGTATATATTATTGCTCACCATATTTTTCTTTATTTTGTTTTGTGTAAGTTTCAGAATGTTTCATTAACGATTGGCACATTGTAATTAATGAAACAGCAAATGATATTTGTGTAGCAATATCAGATAAAGACTCAAAATATTTGCAAGATTCTGCAACAAGTTCTTTGCAAGATCTTAGTGCAATATTACTTCTGTCTACTTGACTTGCTAAAGTTCGCAAACCCTCTAGAAAACAATGTTTAAATAACTAAATTCTATTATATACTAT